TGGGATTACAGGCATGAGCCACCGGCCCCACTGTGTACCAGTTTTTAATTCTTTGGGATATATACCTAGCAGGGGAATTACTGGGTCATATGTTAATTCCATGTTTAGCTTTTCATTTTTTAATGTTTATGGGTACATAATAGGTGTATGTATTTAAGGGACACATGAGATATTTTGATACAGACATGCAATGCATAATAATCACATTAGGGTAAATGGGGTACCCATTACTTCAAGCATTTGTCATTGCTTTGCTTTGCAAGCATTTTAGTTATACTCTTCGTTATTGATTGTGTTTAACTTTTTGAAGAAGTGCCGAATTCCACAGTGGCTAAACCATTTTACATTCCCACCAGCATTGTACAGTGGTTCCAGTTTCCCTGTGTTCTTGCTCACATGTGGCTGTTTTTCCATAATTTGGATTCTGGCCATTCTAGTGGGTGTGAGATAGTACTTCATTTCTGTTTTGATTTGCATTTCCCTAATGACTAAGGGTGTTGAACATTTTTTCATATGCTCATTGTCTATTTATATGTCTTCTTTGGAGAATTGTCTATATGAGTCCTTTGCCTATTTTTAAATTAGGTTGTCGTTTTGTTGTTGAATTCTAAGCGTTCTTTATATATTCTAGATACTATACCCTTATCAGACATATGATTTCCAAATATTTTCTGCCATTCCATAGGTTGTCTTCACTTCGTTGATAATGTCCCTTCGTGCACAAAAGTTTTAATTTTCATGAAGTTCAATTTTTATTTTTCTTTGGTTGCTTGTGCTTTTGGTTCTACATCCAAGAATCCATAGCCAAATCCAAGGTCATAAAGACGGATCCCCACGTTTTCTTCAAAGAATGTTTGGTTTTAGCTCTTATATTTAGGTTGTTGATTCATTTTGAGTTATTTTTGTGTATAGTGTAAAATAAGGGACTAACTTTGTTCCTTTGCATGTGGCTCTCCAGTTGTCCCAGCACCACAGTGGTCCTGGCACCTTTGTTGAAAAATCATTTGGCCCTAGTTGACTCTCAGTCTGTTACACTGGGCCAGTACCGCACTGTTTTGATTACTGTTAACTTTATAAGCAGTTTGGAAATCAGGAAGTATAAGCTCTCCAGCTTTGTTCTTCTTTTTCAAGTTTGTTTTTGCTGTTTAGGCCAATGGAATAATTGCAATTATTCCATGTGATTTTGAAGATTGGCTTTTCCATTTCTGTAAAAAAGACTGTTGGAATTTTGATTGAGATTAAACTGAGCCTGTAGGTTGCTTTATGCAGTATTGCCATCTTAATATTAAGTCTTCCAATTGCTGAACACAGGATGTCTCTATTTGTTTATGTCTTCTTTAATTCCATTCAGCAATGTTTTATAACTTTTAGTGTACAATGCTTTCACTTCCTTGGTTAAATTTGTTCCTAGGGGCCGGGCGCAGTAATCACACCTGTAATCCCAGCACTTTGGGAGGCCAAGGTGGGCAGATCACCCGAGGTCAGGAGTTCCAGACCAGCCTGACCAACGTGGAGAAACACCTTCTTTATTGAAAGAAACTACAGAATTAGCCGGGTGTGGCGGCACACGCCTATAATCCTAGCTACTTGGTGGGGGCAGGGGCTGAGGCAGGAGAATCACTTGAACCCAAGAGGTGGAGGTTGCGGTGAGCCAAGATCGCGCCACTGCACTCCAGCCTGGGCAATAAGAGCAAGACTCCGTCTGAAAAAAAAAAAATTATTCCTAGGTATTTTATTCTTTTGGATGCTAATATACATGGTATTATTTTTTTCTTTTTTTATTTTTATTTTTAGAGATGGAGTCTTACTCTGTCACAGGGCTGGAGTGCAGTAGCGTGATCTTGGCTCACTGCAACCTCTGCCTCCCAGGTTCAAGCATTTCTCCTGCCTCAGCCTCCCGAGCAGCT